CCCCCCCTCTGGTTCAGGGGTCTGCAAGGAGTGGGTGCTCAAGGGGGCCGTTCTTCCCGGAACCGGGAGGCGGAAGCGCCCCTGGAGCTAAAAGTTGGTGTCGCTGAGGCGGCAGGGCCCATAGGCCTGGGGGGTCGTGGGGCCTGTGCGGCTGTGACCCTCCCTGGGGAAGGAGGGGGGGTCACTTCTTGCTCTTCTGCTGAAGTTAGTGGGAGGTAGACAAGCAGGAGAACAGAGTGATGGGGATTGTGGTGAATAAAAGAGCTTCACCTTGCTGAGATGGGGTGTGTATGTGCGTGTTTCCTGCTTATGAGAAATGTGTAATTGTTTCTTTTTAGGTGGCCTCAAAAACCTGTGCTGATATTTAGCTTAGGGGGCTTAATATCGACATGATAGTCTTTTAACATATGTTGTAACACCAAATACAGCCATTTTGATTATAAGTCTCAGTTTCACAGACTACATCACAGATATAATTGAGCTGACTAGTTCAAATATGCTAATTTTAGTAAGAATAGTGACAGGACATCCAGAAATCATGGATAGAAAGTATAAACTGTGATAAGAGGAGAGAACTCCTCAGAATAAAGTAATCTGTACCAGAGTATCTTACTCAAATTAATTGACCAAAAGTGCCTTTCAGTGGAATTAATTTTAAGCTTAGAAGTGCTTAAATGCTTAGAAAGCATTGAAAGAAAAGGTACCTAAATCTGTGTGCATATTAAAGCATTGTGCATTTCAGCTTGATGCATTTGAGACCTTGCCTGTGATAAAAATGACACTGTACAAAGGTTTGTCTTTGAGTTCCATGTGGTGGCTTTCATCCAAGTAACACAACAAAACTAACATAGAGTCCATATGCAACTATTTTTCCAAGTTAAGGAAGTATTGCATCTGAAGTGTTTGCCTACAACAAATATGGAAGTGGACTCTAAACTTAGGGTAACTTTTATGTTTTTTAGATGTGAAGAAGGAATAATATTGAAATCAGCATTAGCTGATGATTCACCTTATTTTGCAATTTATATTTCCTCCTGTGTCTGTGTGTGCATGGCACCATTTTGTGTCATGCTTTATGGTATACACATAAATGACTTACAAGGCTTTGTGTTGGTAGGTAAATTCTTTAATTTGGGTATGCAATGGAGAGTCTTTGGTAATCCTCAGCAGCAAAAAAAAATTACTGTAGAGGGACACTGGATGAGTAACAAAAAATATCTTCAAGTGTGGTATTAGAAATCTTGAGGTATCATGTTGGTGTAGATGGGAGTATTTTTCTTATGTTGAGTTCTTACTGTTAATGAGCTGGGCTTGTGAGTCTCTCTGGTGACAATAGAAGCATGTTAGGGTGAGAGATAACTGGGGGAGATCATGGGTGCTTTATGCAATTCCTAAAAATGCTGGCATTTATTTTTGCAGTAGTGTTGCCACCGTAGTATTGGCATATAGGTAATTGCTCCTTCTCAGAGGTAAAGTTTTAAATATAGCTAAAGTGGAGGTAAAACATTAAATCTTTACTAATTGTTAATTAGGCCTTTCTTCTTGCATTTTAGTCTGAAAACTGGATTCTTAAAGTGGAAACCAGATTATGACAGTGCAGCTACCGAATATGGGAAGGCAGGTATGCATGGCTGTAAATATGGCTATATACTTTATGGTATTCTTATTTCCAGTACACTGCTGTGTAAGTAAAACTGTTGTGAAGACAAAGTAGCATGAAACAACAAACAGAATACTCTTAGTAGCACAGTAAAATACATTTCAGATTTTACTGGGAGATCTAGAACAATTGTCAAAACAATTATTTTTTTCAAGATTGCAACTTCTACTTTGGATATTACTACATGTGATAAAAAGAAAGTATTCTTTCTTTCACTTGTCCACCCCCAAATCTTATGACTTTGTCTACAAAACAACAAATATTTGAGCTGGTTATAAAACTTAGCTTTTTCATCATCTCATGAAGTATGGTCTGACAAAGGCTGTCTCAGTAAGATTGAGATCACTGCAAGTGTCACACTGAATATAAAATTCTTACTAGTTGATCTCTTTTTTGCTCTTAAGCAATTTTCTTATTTTTGATAATTTTCACTGTTTTTTGACTTCTTACTCTAGGCATTCCTACATACTCTAGGTACCCTGAATAAAACCACAAAAACTTGGAAAAGTACCTGGGGAATTTTAAAATGGATATTTATTTTAAATCCTACTTCAATATCCTATCAGTCTAATGGAGTTATAAATACCTATTTGTGCCCTGGAGTGGTTGTGTTTAGGAAGTTGCTCTAGGTGTGCTTTGTTGATGGTGCCCTCTGTTCCTGCCATACTGATTTTGTATAACCTCTAATGATTAAAACTATGTACATATACATTCCTGCATTTCTGTAATTAAAATACAGAATGAATGAGCTCCAAAATCCAGCTAAACACATTATGCATGATGTGTGGTACAGCAGTGGTATGAGAGTGCAGTTGACAATAAATGTTTTTAATGGTTGCTGACTGATGAAGCAAGGACTGTCTTGGGACTTTCTGGATTATCTTGGTAAACTAACCATTCGTTGAACAGAAGTGGTAAAGAAAGTAAAATGGCAAGCTGTAAAAAAGAACTGTGTTTGATTTCTTGCAGCTGTTGCTTTTAAGAATGCCAAGCAGTTTGACCAGGCAAGGGAAGCCTGTTTACGGGAAGCTGAGGCACACGAAAACAATAAAGCGTATCTTTTTCTTGACTGTTAATCTTTTTTCCAAGAACCTGACTAGTTTAAAGTGGGATAAGGGGGTTGGTAGGAGATGTTTTTAATATATTTGCTAATTTTTCTGCATTATATTTTTGTGGGTTTTGTCCTTGACTTTGACAATGTTACTTTCAGTCTCTTCCATGCTGCCAAGTAAGTACAGAAGCAATGAGTAATCTGAAGGAAATTTTCTAACATATGGCACAAGCATGAACTATCATTTTGATCTCATTGTACCAAATGGTATGGTCCAAGTGATTTCACCATTTCATAGAACAACAGAATGGTTTGGATTGGAATGGACCTTCAAGATCTTCTAGTTCCAAGCCCCGTCCCATGGGCAGAGACACCTCCCACTAGACCAGGTTGCTCAAAGCCCCATCCAACCTAGCCTTGAACACTTCCAGGGAGGGCATCAACAGCTTCCCTGAGCAACCTGTTCCAGTGTCTCACCACCCTCACACTATTTAATTTCTTCCAAATATCTAATCTAAATCTACCCTCCTTTATTTTAAAACCATTACCCCTTGTCCTCTCACTACAAGCCCTTGTAAAAAGCTCCTCCCCATCTTTCCTCTAGGCCTCTTCAATGGAAGGCCACTGTAAGGTCTCCCTGGAGCCTTCTCTTCTCGAGGCTGAACAGCCCCAAATCTCAGCAGTTTAATGGAAGTGCTGGCTAGGAAAGTCTGAAAATCTGCAGCGGCCATCTGAATAAATGATTTTGACATTCTTCAGCACCTTTTTATATAAAATATTTTTTCTTGGATTAACTTTTTTGCAATTTTGAAATTCTATACTATTGAGCTTATAATTTTTTTTTTAATTAAAGGATACTTCAAAATAAGTAGTTAATGAAAAATAATCAAAATATTGCCTGAGGGTCATATTATGAGAAGAGATTTTTAGTGAGGAGTATGGTTAAAGCATTTAATTTGTGGAAGATAGTGTTACACATGCACTGCCATTAAATAAGACACTTGAAACATCTTCAAAGCATTAAATATGAACAGTGAAATGACAGCTGATGCATGTTAACTTCTGTTATGTAACTCACAACTTGCTGAAATGCACCATATCTAACTAAATTGTAATTTTTCTCTTTGCAGAGCTTATGAACAAGCTGGCATGATGCTAAAGGTATTTTCATGTACTAGTTTTTAATTAAAAAGTTATCCTTTATGGTGAAGAATATTGTGTACTGGACCATCTTACAAATATATGTAAGCAAATTGCACAGCAAAGTGATATTTTTCTGTTGACTTAGTCTTCACAAATACCCTCAATAGGTTAGGGGAGTGACATTTGTAATTTGGGGGAAAAAAAATGCTTTTTATAGAAGGAAAGGTGAAGGCCTCATGTCAGGGAATAATGGCAAATTGCTGCTGCTAGTCTGTACTTTGACAAATTCACACCTTACATGAAAGTTTGGTACTTAAAAATGAATCTTACAGAGTTAGTGGTCAGCTTTTACTAGGTCTACAAGTTTGTATATAATAATTAGAATCCTGATAAATAGGGTATTACACTTTGATTTGTTTCTTGTACATAAGCACAGTTCTTGACAGCAGCATCCCTCTGACTGTTGCTTTGCAGGAGATGCAGAGACTCCCTGAGGCAGTTCAGCTGATTGAGAAAGCCAGTATGATGTACCTGGAGAATGGGACACCAGATACAGCAGCCATTGCACTGGAACGGGCTGGAAAGTGAGTCTGTGGTGTAGGTGGCTAGAATGCCTGCAGGGCGTGGATATGTTTTTGGTTTTACTTCTTGTCTTTTTTATGCTTTTAGGTACAGAATATTTTCATTTAATCTGAAGATAAATTATTTATGTTTGTAACAGGTTAATAGAAAATGTGAGCCCAGAGAAAGCTGTGCAGCTCTATCAGCAAGCAGCGTCGGTGTTTGAAGTAAGTGGGGGTCTTTCGGGTGTTTGTTGGTGTGTTTTTTTCCCACCAGCAAGTAACTTTTGAGTCCCAGAAAGTATACAAAGATTAATGGATTGGCATTTAGAGCCAGCTATAAAGTTAAGAAAAAGGCTAAGATCATGTTCTACATTATTTTTCCTTCCTTTCACATGAGTGGTTGAGTAATGAAGCTGAAGGCTTCTTATGCTATAGAGGAGGATATTGTAAAAGTTAGGAATCAGTTTGCTTTTTTCTCAGTTTGAGACTTGACTGAATCTGAATCTCTTATATTGTCAACTTTTCTGCCTCTTGTTAGGCAGCCCAGAGGATATGGAATGTGCCTGCCTCCTGAGTCATAGAGTCTAAAATAGTTTGAAATCCTTGAAGGCAAAGAAGAGAAGAATTTTCTTGAGGCTCTACCCATCCCATGAGATTTGCCTTTTTGCTGCTGCCTTTGGTGTACTTCCCTATTGACATACGTTGTCACATGTTTCCATGTTTGCAGTCATGTCACTTCACTCGGTAGATCCCTACAGAAGCTGCCTGTGGGACTTGGGTGTGCCAGTTGTTCTAAGTTACAGATTGCATACTTGAATGAAGGTCTTGTGGTCTTAATTCTGTGCAAATGAAATAGGAATGCATGAATTTTTTTTGTTCTTCTCTAGAATGAGGAACGTTTACGGCAAGCATTAGAAATGCTAGGGAAGGCATCAAGACTTCTAGTCAGAGGACGCAGGTATAGCTTTGTGCCTTATTTTTTTCAAATGTAATTGAATCTTTAATCCTGACTTTTCACTGGGATTTTTTTGCAGTTTTGTTTGGGTTTTTTTGTCAGTTTTTTTTCCCTTGTTTGGTTTCTATATGGTTACTTTCATTTCAAAATAAAATTTAGTTTCTGTGAGATAATGCCATGTTATCTAGGAACCACCTGTTTTATGTTCTGGGATGGGAGAGTATGTGCTGTAAGGTGTTGTTTCCTTGTTGAGTAGCTGGAAAGCTGCACTAGTTTTCATGAATTCTTCATACTACTTCAGGAATTTTTTTTTCTTCCAAGTCTAATATGTAGAAAGTACTTGAAAGTCTTTTATAGCTGGGGAATATAAAACAGTGGAATTAAGTGACTAACCTGAAGAAAGAAATCTGTTAGCAGAAGTCAGATTCTGGACTTCTTAAAGAAGAATGTGTATTGGAGTGTCCATGGGAATTTATTTTAATAATTGCTTACACCAAATTTGATCTACAGTTCAGCTTAGACTTGCTTCACTGATCCATGTAGTTCCTTTAAGAAATTGTCTGGGTTTCTGACTACTTTTCAGACACTTTATTTCACTGCAGAGCTGTAGTCAGAAAAGGAAATTTAAAAAGTAACTTGAAAGTCTTTCTGTGAAAGCAAGTCAACATATCTTCAGAACATCTGAAAGACTTGGTTGCTCTGCTGCTTTAAGTTCACATGCTGCTGCTAGTTTCTAGAAGTTTGGTATGATGATTAAAAGAGTATTCAGATTGAAAATCAGTTACTATGACTTAATAGTTCATGGATATCAGACTTACTGATAGCTTATACTAACCTCATGAAATACAGAAATCTGTTAGGATGCATAACAAGGCATTCATCTTGTAAAATGTTACGAAAACTTAGATTCTTCTGAATGAAGACCAGAAATATTCTTAGCCTGCATGTATGCAAAAGGAATGGGGGACTAGATTTCTTTATCCTCTCTGTTACCAAGATCTACTGCCGATTTTTAGTTGTATTGCTTTTTATTCCAGTAGACTTGCCAGTATAGTAGTTAAACACTTTGTAATTAGCCTCAGGTTCATTATGCTGTATTCTTGGGACAGATACTTCAGACTTTTTGTTTGTTTGTATTTTTAGGTTAGATGAGGCTGCATTGTCTCTTCAAAAGGAAAAAAGTATTTATAAGGAAATTGAAAATTACCCTACATGCTATAAGGTAAATTCTAAGAGACAACTTCTCTTTGAAGTTATTCTGGGTAAATAATGACAGCTGACATCTGACTGACAATATATAAGTCTTGATTCAGGGATACTTTTCTTGCTAAACGATGAGAATTTGTGGCAGTGCATGTTTCCCCAACCTTGTAACTGCTTTTTCACAACTATAACGTCGAAGATGCTATTTTCTACAGGAGCTGTCAAAAGCAAGAAACACATAAAAAATACAGATGTTATAAAAAATAACACACCAGCAATACTGTTACTGGGTGCAATAGTTCATTACAATGTTATGGGACATAATCTGTTTCATACTAGCTGAGGAAATGGGTTACTAGTTTTTCACTATGTTGTTCTGACTCTCCTGTGTCGGTATCTTAAGGATCATTGCAGATCGTAATGACCATTTTCACATTACACACTAGTAGCCCAGTATTTTTCTCATATTTTACTGTTAATTTCTAAAGAATCATCAGGTTGTGAGAGATTTTTTTGTTGTTTTTGTTTAGAAAACTATTGCTCAAGTCTTAGTCCATCTTCACAGAAATGATTATGTGGCTGCAGAAAGATGTGTGAGGGAAAGCTATAGGTAAGTCTTCTTCATGCCCTATGTTTTTAAGCTGAGTGTTTCATTAATGTAGATCTATTCTTATGAAAGAGCAATGGAAACACTGTCTGCCAAGACATTTTAAGTCTATACTTTGGTTGACTTACAGTACAATAATAGCATTCCCTGGTATATTGGTATCAGGGATTCTTTGCACTCTTAACAGATTTAGCTGTGATTACCATAGTGATTCTTTTTAGTGAACCTAAAATAAAAAGTTAGTGATAAGGGAGTAGTTGTGTGACAGCTGAAATGAGGTGGAACTTAGAAGTTCTTCCATTTTGTTTTCCTTGTTAAAAGCTGGGCAGCATACTGTTATGGCTGGGATTCTTGCTTTACTTACATCCTTAGCCATTTTCAAATGGAACTGAGATGGATTAGCTGTTGTAAACAAATGTTTAGGTTTAAAAGGGGACATTTCTGGATGTTGCTAACTGGATTTTATTTTTTCAGAATCTTTTTGCCATATCGTGTGGAGACCCTTAAAACATTGAAATTCTATCTTGTCGTTGCTATATTTTATTACAGATTGAGGATGGAAACACAGAACGTAGTCTAAAAATGCTCAATAGCAGCATCCCAGTATGATCAACTGAACTCTCTAGTATGGTGATTAGATTGAGGGAAAGATTAAATGTTTTTGTTCAACAAAAGTTTGCAGCATGGGAATTACTGCATTTCTGGTTATGTTGATGTAGGAGATCTTGTCTTCTTCATACACAGGAAGAAGAAAAGCAAGATTTCTGCTTTTTTTTTTTTAAATAGTTGATTAAACTGAAAGATAATTTATGAAGCAGAAAGTAGTCCAGTTAAATACACTGAAATAAAGAAAACATTCTTTACACATCCAGGAGAAAATTCTGGTGTAAAAATCTGGATTAGTGTTCAGACCTGGTTCCGGAGGCTTTCCCAGCCACTCTTCATTTCAGCTTTCATTAGGGTTTCAGTAACAAAATACTGAAACAACGTATTTTTACTTAAACCGTGTTTTAAATGAAATGACTCAAACGTATATGTAGGTTAAATTGTACTTTATTTTTAGAAAGAATTTTTTAAGATCAGTCTTTAAATGTCTTGCTCATATTTTCCGAGTCTTCAATTTGTATTTTATATATAGGAACTCATTACAGATTTTTTCTGTATGTAAAGTGGAAGAAGAGCTTATTGGCTAATCAGGAATATTCTCCTTTTGTCTTGACTATGATTCTACTCTTACTGTCAGTGTGCAAACTAATATTCTTGAAGGTTTAATTTTATGGATATGATCCATGTATGTGGAAAAATCAAAGTGGTTATAGGCAGCAGTTTTGTGGAATAAACAGTTAATTGGACTCTTCAGCTGAGTGTAAATTAAATTGCTGAAGTGCCTTAAATGAACACTTAATTTCCTTCAGTATACCAGGATTTAATGGAAGTGAAGACTGTGCAGCACTAGAGCGACTTTTAGAAGGGTATGACCAGCAAGATCAGGATCAAGTTTCTGAAGTCTGTAATTCACCACTCTTCAAATACATGGACAATGATGTAAGTAGGCAGTTTCTATGTTTTTTTTAATAATCCTTTTACTTGTTCAGCTTGAGAGATATTTTTTTCTAGTAGAGGAATATAAGAAGAACATGGTCCATGTGTTTATTGTGACTTGCTCTGTTATCCTACCCTGTGCCTGTGAATTTTGTGTTCTTTAACTTTGCTGTGCCAGTGTAAATTCTCACGCTGTTGTTCTTTTGTGATTGTGGGAGGGCTTAGGTGAAAGAGCAGTTTGTTATGGATTTGTTGAGTTTGCTTGAATTGATCAAAATTCAGTTCCCTTCTGCTTTGATTCCTTAGGGGCCAGAACAGTTTGCTGCTTATGCTTTATCTCAGAAATACCTTATAAATGATAATACATGCATAAACATAACAGAATATGATGTCTACAGGATGGTATTGTTGAATGTTTTTGGTTTTTTTTCAGAGCTTACTCCTTAGCAAGGTACTAATTAGTGATTTTTTTAAATTTTGCTGTAAGAAAGTAGTTGTATGCTGTCCCCTCACGCCCTTTTTTTTATTATTTTACTCATAAATTGTAGAAAGTGTCAGGATAGGAACAGTCTGAAGTAAAGGAAGCATCCACCCATGCTAAACTCTGTGACAGTATTGACTGCTTCATTACTATGTTGAATAGTAAAACAGAAAGGTACTAGTCTTACTGAAAAACACTTGTAAGACATGAACTAGTACTAGATAGTGTAAGCAGAGCTGCATACTGAAAAACTATTATTTTAAATTTTTTTTTACATAAAGTTTGAACCATGGAACCTGTAGCATGTAGCCAAATTATTCTACAATAGGCATTATCAAGACAGATCTTGAGTCCCAGTCTCAGTGTTTGAGATAGGAAAAAATGAACCAATGTTAGGCTTACTCTAAACTGGAAAAACGTACTCTGAGAGCAGCATTAATCTGTTTTCAGAACTGAATGCTTTTACAGTTTATTGTGCATGTAAGTCAGTTCTGTGCAGTGTAATTCAACAAGATTTTACTTCTGTGATAGTACATAGTTTAAACTTGCCTTGTTATCATCAGTATGCCAAGCTTGGTCTTACCTTGGTGGTGCCAGGAGGTGGAATCAAGAAGAAATCACCAAATGCTGCACAAGACAAAGCAAGAGGACCAGCTGCAGTGGGCTCTCATGCTGATGAGGAAGAGGATGAATATTCTGGTGGACTATGCTAGTTACAGACATAGAGTCCTAAATACCTGACTTATTTGTGATGTTGAGCATATCCAAAGGTACCAGATTTACCAGAGCTTCATTGCAATTGTGATATGGGAGTGCTAACACTAACTTGGCAGCTTCTGGGTACAATGCAGGAGAAAAAGCATTATTGTACCTATCATCTTGAGACATCTTTGGACTTCATTTCTTACCTGGTAGGACCTTCTGCATGACCCTGCCTTCAGTTGATGGGAAAAAATTCAGAGACATTTTTATTAAAAGCACAGTTTAAAAGAAACCAAACCCTGAGAAGCACTGGAGTAGGGAGAATGGTACAACATTTATAATACTGAATTTCAGCAGCTGGTACTTTCTGATCCCAGTAATATGTTTGTGATTATTTTCTGAGTGAAATATATGATCATTCATCTGGCTATTTACCTCCTGTTTAGCACCATTTAAGGCAGACCGTGCCAAGCAGGATTTTTCACTATTATAAGCACTAGGGGGAGCATTCAGTTTATTTTCAACATGTTTTTACTCCAAAGCAGAATATTATTTTAATAACTTTCTCTTTGTAAGCAGTATCCATATAAGTGTGGAAAATACTAAGTCAACTAGTTTGAAGCTATGTTGCAAGCTTAAAAGTACACACACATCTTTCATCTTAAGAACTTTCCTGACTTGAAGTCTTAGGTAAAAAATGTGTGTGCAGTGTTTATAATTTAGACTTTGGAAAGGGAAGGAGTGGACAGACTTTCTTAGTGGTGTTTCTGAAGCATGCCATAACCAAAAAAGAAACTGAAGGTGGAAGATAATGTGCATTGATTATAAAGCACTGAAGACAAATTTTAACAAAAAAGTAGGTGGAATGTTTCAATGCTATGTTTGAGTCCATGAGTGTTCTAGGTGTTCATTTAAGAATCAATACACCAGTCTATGAAGATGTTTCATTCTTTCATATTTCAAAGCATAGAATTGGCATTTTTCAAACTAGCTCAGAATACAAAGTAGCCAAATTTTAATGCATCTTCTCTATTTTTATTTGGTTTCAAGTCATCATGTGTTTTCCAAGCTTCTGTAGTGTCTTAAATTTGTTTGGTCATTTTATGCTTAAAAGCTGAAAACACTGGAAATTGTACTTGTTTCTTCAGAAGAACCTAATCACAATCTGCACTACATTGAGATCACTTGGAATCTGGCAGAGATTTGTGTGTGATACGTGATGCCCTAAGTTCAATAAACAATAGACCAAAAGCACAGCATTAAGTGTTGGTACAGTTTCTGCCATATTAAGGAATGTTATGTCTTCAAAAAGACCAAGCAAATGTCTGACATATGTGATGTCTGACATTAGTCTGTCAGACATAACTGTGATGAAAGTAAATTCTAGAGGGTTAATACTCCCTTTAAGTGGATAGTATTGATAGTATTGTAATGGGTGCACAGGCTACAGCATGATTTGCAGGCAGGGCTGCTGTAAAAGGCACCTTACTCAGTTTGATGGATGCTTTAAAAGCAGTTCTGTCTTACTATGTAATAATCAGCTTGCATTTTAAAGCTACTTGAGACTACACCTGTAGTTTTTCAGTCTGACTGGTAATTTCCCTTTGTTGTTAATGATGTATATGGAGGGTTTTGCTCTTCTATAGTCTTAATGAAATTTTGGGAATTGGGTTGCTTTTTGCTGATTACAAGTCTACTTGAAAGGTCATTTTGAAGGCTTTCCTATAAGTTCTTTTTTCACCATTGGAACAACTTCCTGCAGTTTATTCAACTCCTGTCCTCTGGATTTGCAGAGGAAGGTGACCACTCACTTCTTGTGGGGAGTCATTTTCACAAGTAGAAAAAAAACCCACATATGTAGGAACACTTGAGAACACTTAAGAAATTTTCTTCAAGCTTTTTATACTGCTTCCAATTCTGAAATAAGTTTTGTTGAATGATCCCAGGGAGTTTGCTTTTTGTGTGAGTGTGTGAACAATTGTATACATCTGAGAAGATGACATGCGTAAGAAAATTTGGGAGGCTTGTGTGCTTCTGTGAAAGAACTTGCTGACTGTGCTTGTAGCACCAACAGGCCCTTAGGAGAAAAACTAAAATATATGCATTAAATTCTTAAAGCATACTTTTTGTGTTACCAAAAACTTAATACAGATGTGACTGTCTTGCCACTCCCACAGTTTTTTTCTCTTTTCCCTGTGCCAAGTGTGGAAAATCTGGGACAAAATTAACTTTGTACTAAACATGCTAAGCTGCCATTGAATTGAAAGGGAATTCTCTGAATTTTAGTAGAATCTTAATCTCTGATTGCAATGTTGCTGCAAAGACCAAATCTGCAGAAATGGATGTCTGAAAATAAGATGGTTTATTTTATATAACTTATTCTCCTATTTTAGGCAGTGAAAGTGTGATAGGAATGTTAACTGCCTTTTAGTAAATGTTAACTATAGAAGAAGCTGTCTGTATATTATGTGTTAATGTTTGTTTCTATCTTTCAGAGCTATTTGCACATGTATGTAAATATCATTTAAGTGATAAAAGTGGAAAAGATGCCATTTATGGCAAGAAAGTTTCCAAAACCAGTGTTGACTAAGAAAAATAAAATTAAATTGTGCATGAAGGCTGATAGATGGCCAATGCAATGTATATGTAAAATCAAAAGATTTCTAAATTATCTGTAACTTAAGAATCAGCTTCTCCAAGTGCAGTGTGAAACCTGTGCTTTGTTTGTTCTTTTTCCAAGTCTGTGGTGTATTAGAGTACAAAAAGTGTGTGTAACAGCTCTACAGATGCTGCTTCTTGAGAACAGGCTGTGTGTTTCACCAACATGAAAAATAAAACTTGAAATACATGCATTTGTACGAGTTTTCCGTGTTGTTGATCAGGTCCTGCTGAGCACCAACATTTGAAAAGGATTGCTGTTTTTTTTAACCTCAAGCAGATTTTTTAGTGTGACCATTGTTCTGCAGATCTTGTCACCAAGTGTTGCAGGTATGTTAGGTGATCAAGCACAAAGCTCAGGTTTGAGTGTTGAGTGTCAGTGGTGTCCAGTCTTCGTGTCTTACTCACTATACATTTGCTCACAGCCCTTTTTATTTATCCTGTACTTTTTGTTTTTCTAACTGACCTTCTGGTACTTTTCTGCTGGCTGTCATTCTTTGAGATGGTAACACACCTGAGACAATTCTGTCCACCCAGAATAAAAAGTATGTATGTATTTCGCCTTTCTCCTGATTGTAACATCTGGGTCATTGGTATCACTTTGCTGCTCAAAGGCTGGTTTTCAGAAAACAAAATTGTTATATTGGGTCATTGTTAGACCTGAACTTGTTGTCTTTAACAACGTGAAATTGAGAGAAATAATGGATTCTCCAATCTTCATTTTTCCATTCCTTTGGCTAATTATCAAGACAAGTTTATTGTTTTTAAAAAAAGGCTCTGATGAGGGAGGACAGAGATTCTGAGATCTGCCATAGAGATAAGGAACTTGTTTCCACAGGTGGGCTGGTTGAATGTGGAACAAATTCTGGAGTCTTCCAGAAGAATACACAAATAAATTCCAAGATTCACCTGCATATGCTGAAAGGACTAAGAATATTAATAGAAACAGCAGAGGTGTGAGAAGGGGTCTTGCACCAGACTGTTCTTTGAGTATCAGTACTGACCATGACAGATGCATTGTCTGTGCCTGTGAGGTCTGCTGGAGGCTAGAAGAGGTGTCCACATCAAAACAGCTGAGGATCACGTGAATGTGGAGGATGCCTTCGCCATTAGAATTTCAGCATTCATTTCTAGTAAGGAAAATTTTAGAAACGGTGTTTGTTGTCTAGCAAGAACATGTAAAAGAGGCACAAGGGGACAGGGGATGAGGTTTAGAGTCAGTTCATGGGCTGGTGGTTCCTGCTGCTCCTTTTTCTTCAGGAAGAAGGATTCCTTACAGTCCTCCCCTTCTCCCCCACGGGGTCCCTCCCATGGGAGAGAGTTCTCCACGAACCTCTCCTTCATGAGTCCTTACCATGAAGTCTGGAGCTGCTCCAGCCTGGGCTTCTCACAGAGTCACAGGCTCCTTCAGGAACAGCCAACTCCCCTGGCACCGGGATCTTCCAAAGCTGCATAATCAGAGTCCAGTGGCAACAAATCCAAATTCACCCCTTCTGGTGCCTTCTAGGAATGTTCCACCACGTTCCTGCACGAGTACAGGGGGACAGCCTGCCATCTCGCCATGGGTTGCAGGGGAACTTTTGCTTGGGCACCTCCTTCCCCTTCTCACCACCAGCACCGCTGGCACTGCTCTTCTCCTTTAAGTGCCTTGCTGCTGAGGTGTTATATTAGTTCTTTTGTATGTTAATTGCGGAGGTGCATCTGTTGTCCCTCTAATGGCTCCTTGCCTGGGTTTGGAGGGGGGAGCTTCTCAGCTTCTTACTGGAGACACTCCTGGAGCTCTTCCCCCACTACCAGAACAATGCTGAATTCATACAGAAACAGTGAAGCGGGTGGGAGGATTTATGGTATGAATGTTTTAAAACTGCTGCATTTGTCAGAGTTAATCCTGTTTATCACTTGAGTCAGGTTTTTCAAAGCAGTTTTCATCAATGAGAATGCAAGCTTGTCGATATTCAGTAATATATCCAATCGGGAGTTTGAAAAACAACTAGATTTCAACATTTCAAAAGACAGATATTTACACAATATAAGGATGTGAACTCTTTTAACTCCTTGGAGACTTCATCGTTGCAGAAAAATCACATTTTCTACTCTTCTAAAGTAAAGCTTGCTGCAGTACTTGACAACTGAAGAATGTAGCACTGAAGTTCTTCAGCATGACAGGAATCATCCCTCGGATGCTGTGAATAAGCAGCTGTAAAAATGATAAGGGCAAAGCTGCTATTGGAAAAAACTTTTTTATTATTATTGTCTAGGTTTTTACTAAGTAGGGAACATTTTTGTATGTAGGGCATAGGAAAAAAAAAAAAAAAAGCCACCCAAACAACTAGTAGGGGTAATAAAATTGGAACAAGTAGATGTAACTTCCAGAGGAGGAGAGAACCACTTGCAACTTGTGGTGGTTTGTGTGTGGGCAGGAGTATTAATCTCCAAGCTTGTGGTTCGTAGAGGCCAGCACCCGCAGGAGCTGGGCTCATCTCTGCCTGCATGTACCTGTTGGAGATTATGTGTATGAGTGCTATTCTCTGACCAGCTTCCAAAAGGCTGCTG